TTTCCCGGCTTCACGGTTTCCCGAATTCCCGGCATTCCGGCATCCCGGTTTTATCCCGGTTTCCCGGAATCCCGGTTTCCCGGTGTCCCGGTTTCCCGGTGTCCCGGTTTCCCGGTTTCCCGGTTTCCCGGTATCCCGGTATCCCGGTTTCCTGGTTTCCCGGTTTCCCATTTCCCGGTTTCCCGGTTTCCCGGTTTCCCGGTATCCCGGTGTTATCCCGGTTTCCCGGTTTCCCGGTTTCCTGGTATCCCGGTATCCCGGTATCCCGGTATCCCGGTATCCCGGTATCCCGGTTTCCCGGTTTCCCGCTTTCCCGCTTTCCCGGTATCCGGTATCCCGGTATCCCGGTTTCCCAGTTTCCTGGTATCCCGGTATCCCGGTCTCCCGGTCTCCCGGTCTCCCGGTCTCCCGGTTTCCCGGTTTCCCGGTTTCCTGGTTTCCCGGTATCCCGGTATCCCGGTATCCCGGTATCCCGGTATCCCGGTATCCAGGTTTCCCGGTTTCCCGGTATCCCGGTATCCCGGTATCCCGGTATCCCGGTATCCCGGTTTCCCGGTATCCCGGTATCCCGATATCCCGGTATCCCGGTATCCCGGTATCCCGGTTTCCCGGTGTCCGGGTTTCCCGGTTTCCCTATTTCCCGGTTTCCCGGTATCCCCGTTTCCTGGTATCCCGGTATCCTGGTATCCCAGTATCCCGGTATCCCGGTTTCCCGGTTTCCCGGTTTCCCGGTATCCCGGTATCCCGGTTTCCCGGTTTCCCGGTTTCCCATTTCCCGGTTTCCCGGTTTCCCGGTTTCCCGGTTTCCCGGTATCCCGGTATCCCGGTTTCCCGGTTCCCGGTATCCCGGTATCCCGGTATCCCGGTTTCCCGGTATCCCGGTTTCCCGGTTTCCCGGTTTCCCGGTTTCCCGTTTTCCCGGTATCCCGGTCTCCCGGTCTCCCGGTCTCCCGGTTTCTCAGTTTCCCGGTTTCCCGGTTTCCCGGTATCCCGGTTTCCCCGCATCCCGGTTTCCCGGTTTCCCGGTTTACCGGTATCCCGGTTTCCCGGCATTCCCGGTTTCCCGGTCTCCCGGTCTCCCGGTTTCCCAGTTTCCCGGTTTCCCGGTTTCCTGGTATCCCGGTTTCCCCGCATCCCGGTTTCCCGGTTTACCGGTATCCCGGTTTCCCGGCATTCCCGGTTTCCCGGTTTCACGGTTTCCCGGTTTCCTGGTATCCCGGTTTCCCGGCATCCCGGCATCCTGGTTTTATCCCGGATTCCCGGTATCCCGGTTTCCCGGTGTCCCAGTTTCCCGGTTTCCCGGTATCCCGGTATCCCGGTTTCCCGCTTTCCCGATTTCCCGGTATCCCGGTATCCCGGTATCCCGGTATCCCGGTTTCCCGGTTTCTCGGTTTCCCGCATTCCCGGTATCCAGTATCCCGGTATCCCGGTTTCCCGGTTTCCTGGTATCCCGGTATCCCGGTCTCCCGGTCTCCCGGTCTCCCGGTTTCCCGGTTTCCCGGTTTCCCGGTTTCCCGGTATCCCGGTATCCCGGTTTCCCGGTTTCCCGGTTTCACGGTTTCCCGGTTTCCTGGTTTCCCGGAGTCCCGGTTTCCCGGCATTCCGGCATCCCGGTTTTATCCCGGTTTCCCGGTATCCCGGTTTCCCGGTGTCTCGGTGTCCCGGTTTCCCGGTTTCCTAGTTTTCCGGTTTCTTGGTATCCCGGTATCCCGGTTTCCCGGTTTCCCAATTTCCCGGTTTCCCGGTTTCTCGGTTTCCCGGTTTCCCGGTATCCCGGTATCCCGGTATCCCGGTTTCCCGGTTTCCCGGTTTCCCGGTTTCCCGGTATCCCGGTATCGGGGTATCCCGGTTTCCCGGTTTCCCGGTATCCCGGTATCCCCGTATCCCGGTTTCCCGGTTTCCCGGTATCCCAGTTTCCAGGTTTCCCGGTTTCCCTATTTCCTGGTTTCCCGGTTTCCCGGTATCCTGGTATCCCGGTATCCCGGTATCCCCGTATCCCGGTTTCCCGGTTTCCCGGTATCCCAGTTTCCAGGTTTCCCGGTTTCCCTATTTCCCGGTTTCCCGGTATCCCGGTTTCCCGGTATCCCGGTATCCCGGTATCCCGGTATCCCGGTTTCCTTGTTTCCTGGTTTCCCAGTATCCCCGTTTCCCGGTATCCCGGTATCCCGGTATCCCCGTATCCCGGTATCCCGGTATCCCCGTATCCCGGTATCCCGGTATCCTGGTTTCCCGGTTTCCCGGTTTCCCGGTATCCCGGTATCCCGGTCTCCTGGTCTCCCGGTCTCCCGGTCTCCCGGTTTCCCGGTTTCCCGGTTTCCCGGTTTCCCGGTTTCCCGGTATCCCGGTTTCCCCGCATCCCGGTTTCCCAGTTTCCCGGTTTCCCGGTATCCCGGTATCCCGGTTTCCCGGTTTCCCGGTTTCCCGGTATCATGGTATCCCGGTTTCCCGGCATTCCGGTATCCCGGTTTCCGGGTTTCCCGGTTTCCCGGTATCGCGGTATCCCGGTTTCCCGGTATCCCGGTACCCCGGTATCCCGGTATCCCGGTTTCCCGGTTTCCTGGTATCCTGGTCTCCCGGTTTCCCGGTATCCCGGTTTCCCGGTATCCCGGTTTCCCGGTTTCCCGGTTTCCTGGTATCCGGGTTTCACGGTTTCCCGGTTTCCCGGTATCCCGGTATCCCAGTATCCCGTTTTCCCGGTATCCCGGTTTCCCGGGCCTCCTGGTTTCCCGGTTTCCCGGTTTCCCGGTTTCCCGGTATCCCGGTATCCCAGTATCCCGTTTTCCCGGTATCCCGGTATCCCGGTATCCCGGTATCCCGATATCCCGGTATCCCGGTATCCCGGTATCCCGGTTTCCCGGTGTCCGGGTCTCCCGGTTTCCCTATTTCCCGGTTTCCCGGTATCCCCGTTTCCCGGTATCCCGGTATCCTGGTATCCCAGTATCCCGGTATCCCGGTTTCCCGGTTTCCCGGTTTCCCGGTATCCCGGTATCCCGGTTTCCTGGTTTCCCGGTTTCCCATTTCCCGGTTTCCCGGTTTCCCGGTTTCCTGGTTTCCCGGTATCCCGGTATCCCGGTTTCCCGGTTCCCGGTCTCCCGGTATCCCGGTATCCCGGTATCCCGGTTTCCCGGTATCCCGGTTTCCCGGTTTCCCGGTTTCCCGGTATCCCGGTATCCCGGTTTCCCGGTTTCCCGGTTTCCCGGTATCCCGGTATCCCGGTTTCCTGGTTTCCCGGTTTCCCATTTCCCGGTTTCCCGGTTTCCCGGTTTCCTGGTTTCCCGGTATCCCGGTATCCCGGTTTCCCGGTTCCCGGTATCCCGGTATCCCGGTATCCCGGTATCCCGGTTTCCCGGTATCCCGGTTTCCCGGTTTCCCGGTTTCCCGGTATCCCGGTATCCCGGTTTCCCGGTTTCCCGGTATCCCGGTATCCCTGTATCCCGGTATCCCTGTATCCCGGTATCCCGGTTTCACGGTTTCCCGGTTTCCCGGTATCCCGGTATCCCAGTATCCCAGTATCCCGGTTTCCCGGTTTCCCGGTTTCCCGGTATCCCGGTATCCCGGTTTCCCGGTTTCCTGGTATCCCGGTATCCTTGTATCCCGGTATCCCGCTTTCCCGGTTTCCCGGTTTCCCGGTATCCCGGTATCGGGGTATCCCGGTTTCCCGGTATCCCGGTATCCCGGTAGTATCCCGGTATCCCGGTTTCCCGGTTTCCCGGTATCCCGGTATCCCGGTTTCCCGGTTTCACGGTTTCCCGGTTTCCTGGTTTCCCGGTATCCCGGTTTCCCGGCATTCCGGCATCCCGGTGTTATCCCGGTTTCCCGATATCCCGGTGTCCCGGTGTCCTGGTATAAAAAGCGCTAGAATGCTTCTCGTAGTAGTTTGCTTCGCTCTCACTGTAGCTCGCTGCAGCAAGTATAAAAAGCGCTAGAACGCTTCTCGTAGTAGTTTGCTTCGCTCTCACTCGAGCTCGCTGCAGTAAGTATAAAAAGCGCTAGAACGCTTCTCGTAGTAGTTCGCTAAGCTGCTCGCTCAAGTAAAGCTGCTAAGCTCACTACTCTACGCTAACGGTGCGGAAACAGCAGCCTTGCACCTTCTTCTATACTCCTATCTCGAGCCGCGACCTGCTAGCAATCCGCGACACCCTTGACACGACAAGCTGTTAGAATCTAGAATCGAGGATCTACCGTGACGGTCCTGACGCACGTTGTTACGAAGCCCCTGCTTATCCGGCAGACTATTAGCGCGCGGTGCGGTGTGAAGTCTTCCTTTGCAACGGCGTGGTTTGAGCTCTGCATTGAGCAGCTCAGGACAGCACGGCCTTACATCAGTTTCTACCTTCCGCTGCACGAACATCAGATTTGCACCGCCCTTCCCTCAAACTGCTTTTTCGCCACCCCACAAACTCAACTTCCCGCCACTTCGCTAAGCCCACATTCGCGCGTGCGACAGCTACTCCCAAGCCAATTTACGTGCCCTTCCTCGCTACACCAACTTTTTACCTGAACCAAAGACTACACTTTTCACCACCTTTCATATGCCTCCTTTACATCCAAAATCATTCCGCATGCCACCAGCCCATTTCCTTACAAAATGACAGGCTGCAAAAGGGGTCGTGGTGCCCAAGACTCTGAACCCACTTCTCCTCGCCCGCCTGCCCGTTCGCGCCAAACTCCAGCCTTTGCGACCCTTTCAGCAGCCTTATCGATCCCCGCACCACCCTCTACCTCTCAGCCTCGCCCTACTTCTGCTCCTTCCCAGCAACCTCAGCCAACGTCAACGCCTAAATTTGTCTCAAAAAAACAGAAAGACGTCCTTCAGCAGGTCCTTAAGGAAACTCTTCCTACGCCATCGTCTTCATCACGACCACAAACCTTTCATCCTCCGCCCTCTACTTCTCGAGACCAACCTTCTCCTGCGTCAAACCCTCCAGGTGCCACAGCAGTTGTTCCTGATCCCACGGTCGATACTGACGACGCGCACCCACTATCTCACTATGAAACAGATGCCCCGCCTCCCCAGCAACATCCTCCTCCACCCCCCCACGACCCTCACTCTACGCAACCAGACCCTCTTCGTCCTCTGCCCTCGCCAACCCCCAACAACTCACCACCCCCTTCTGTTCCACCTCCACCGTCTCCGCAGCCAGCACCAAACCCCCCGGCACCCACTTCACACCCTCCTCCTGTTCCTTCTCCACCTCCTCCTGCAGGCCCTTCTCCCGCCGCCCCTTCTTTCAACTGTCCCTTTTGCAACCGCCCGTGCGCCAACGCTGGCACCCTTTCGCGCCATGTATCTGCGTGTTCGCGTCACTCCAGTGCTCGCCAGCAGGCTGCTCGCCCTCCACCACCCCGCCCCCCACCCTCTGCACCTCCAGCATTGTCCCCACCCGCCATCCCGGAGCAGACTTGGGAGGTGGTTCTCACCTGGGATTGGTCAGGTTTCTTCAGCCCCACTGTCTTGCCGGGGCCTTTGATTCGACGCATTCCTTCTCGCATCCGCCTCCTCATGCTCAACGCCCTCCTCATTCCTCTCCACCGCCTCGCCGCTTGCCCGGGTGACACAGCTGCCCACCTCATCATCCTTGCCTTTCCTCGCCTAGTACTTCGTTCTCCGCCTTCTTCTTCCGCCGTGTCAACTACATCCGCTTGCGTTGCGCTCCTTCGTCGCTTCCTCCAAGGCGATTGGCTCTCCCTCTTCCAAGAGGCATTCGCTGCAGCTGTCCCAGCCACCCGCCCTTCCACTCTCACCTCAGCACGGTCCACAGCCTCGCAGGCGCGGATTAATCGGGCCAAACGTTTCGCTCGGTGTGGCGACTTCTCACGATCCCTTGCAGCACTAGAAGCAGGCGAGCTGGCACCACCATCTTCAGACACGGTCACTGCGCTTCATGCAAAGCACCCTCCAGCTGCTGCCGAGATCCCTGACTGGGTGGCCTCTTTCACTGCTACAGAGCTACCTCAGCTTACAGTCCCCTTACTGCACCAGGCCCTTCGTTCTGCCCCACGCGGCACAGCTGCTGGCCCCTCAGGGTGGCTCATCGAGCATCTGCGAGACACGTTCCTCTCTTCGCAGAACCACCTCCCATATCTCCTCCGCCTCTTCCAGTCCTGGTTACAGGGAGACCTCCCCCCGGCCGTTCGGTCTTACTACGCAGCTTCTAATCTCGTCGCCCTATGTAAGCCCCAAGGCGGGGTCCGGCCAATTGCCATTGGAGAAGTTCTCCCTCGCTTGCTGTCCCGCTGCGTTACTCTCATTTACAAACAACAAATCCGAGAATTCTTCCTTCCCTCCCTTCAATTCGGCGTCGCTGTTCCTGCGGGTATCGAGGCCATGGCACATGCGGTCCAGGCCGCCTTATCCCTTCACCCGGATTGGGTGGTTCTTGAGCTCGATGTCGCAAATGCCTTCAACTCCTTTAACCGCAACTTCATGTTCGACGCCCTCCGCCAGTCCCCCTTCTCCTCCCTTATCCCCTTCTTCCGCCTCTTCTACGCTGCTCCCTCTCCTCTCCACTACCGCAACGGCCCCATCCTTGAGACCCTCCAATCAGCTTCCGGTGTGCGGCAGGGGGACCCTTGTGGACCTTTCCTCTATGCCCTTACCCAGCAGCTCGCCATCCACCCTACACAGCAACTCCACCCCTCGACTTTTATCACTTCATATGCCGACGACACCTACATAGTTGGCCCAGCCCCGGACGTTTTTGCCGCTTACAATACCCTCACTTCCCGCCTGCAGCCTCTTGGCCTCACCGTCCAGCCTTCCAAGTGCTCGCTTTATGGCCCTTCTGACATTCCTCCAGACGCTATGCCTCCACCAAACCTTGGCATCGCTCCTAATGGCCTCACTGTGGCCGGAGTACCTATTGGATCTGACTCATACATCATCTCCTCAGTCGGCCACAAACTCCGCTCTTTTGCTACGTCTCTTTCTCTTCTCCACGACCTGCACGACCCTCAGATAGCATCTCGCCTTCTAACCCTCTGTGTCTCAGCACGCCCCTCCTTCCTCCTCCGCACGGTCCCTCCTTTCCCTGAAATTACAGAGTTGTACACCGACTGGGATAACGACTTACTCAACCACTTCACCCGCCTCGTTGGCTCTGAATTTTGGCCACCTGACTTTGACCATCTTCCTACCGCACACCACCAGCCATTCCTTCCCATCCGCATAGGTGGCTTTGGCCTCCGCTCTTCCGCTGGGTTTGCTGATCTCGGTTTCCTCTACAGCTGGGCCCAATCTGTCCCTCTCCTGTCCTCCCACTTCTTCGTCGGCGGTGCTCCCATCTTTCGCCCCTTCATTTCCAGTGACACCATTGACCGTCTCGACCCTTGCATTGTTTCAGCCATGTCACGCCTTCCCCCAGACATTCTTCACCTTTTCCCCTCCTGGCCTGCCCTCATTTCGGGATATCCCCACAAACTTTACTCCTACCTTTCCCAACTCAAGGAAGCTGCCATGCTCGAACGGGTGCGCTCCACAGTGACTTCTCCCCTTCATCTGGCCCGTATAACCTCCTTGCAAGGGCCCCATGCAGGGGATTGGCTTTCTGTGGCCCCATCCTCTCAGCATCTCCAGCTTTCCCCGACAGAATGGAAAATTGCAGCTGCAATCCGCCTCGGCCTTCCCATCCCACACCTCACCACCTCCCGTGCTTGCGTATGCGGTTTCTCTTACACAGACCCATCCATTGTCTCCCACGTCCTTCGCTGCCCTACCGGAAACGAGCCCACCAGGGTCCATGACGCCGTCAAACATGAGGTTCACCGGATTGTCAAGGAGCTGTGTCTTCCTTCCCAGCTAGAGGACAATCACCTCCTTCCTGGTCGCCGTCCCGACATCAGCTGCAGAGACACGAGTTCAGGAGCTGACTTGGGCCTTGGATGTCACAGTGGCAGATCCACAGCACGGTTTCCCTCACTCCAACGCCGCTACTGTCATTGGTTCTGCTGCTGCTGCTCGTGAGGCGGAGAAACGCTCTCTCTATGCTACATCACTTCGCGATCTCCCCCACGTCATATTCTTTCCTCTTGCAATTGAAACATTCGGCTGCTTCGGCAAGTCATTCCTGCACTTTCTCCAAGATTGCAGCCGTCGTGGTGCAGCCCGCATTCGTGACTACAGTGGCACGACGGACCTGGTGCCTCACCTCCTAGAAACCAACTACTTCAAGCGCCTTTCCTTCGTCCTTCAGCGTGAGCAGGCTCGGTCCGTGTGCCGTCGTTCCCAGATACGCCTCTCGGTCACCTCGGATCAGTTGGCTTCCGAGACAACTTTGCCCTCGGTTGCAGACTTTGCCCACCTTGGTCCGGACGGTTGAAAACCTTAGGCCTTTCCAATAGGTAGGTGTTTGCTTAGTTGAATACATTACATGATCCATGTACTGCTTGTACATATACTATACTGTAAATAAAGTGGTTTCCCGGTTTCCTAGTTTTCCGGTTTCCCGGTATCCCGGTATCCCGGTTTCCCGGTTTCCCAATTTCCCGGTTTCCCGGTTTCTCGGTTTCCCGGTTTCCCGGTATCCCGGTATTCCGGTATCCCGGTTTCCCGCTTTCCCGGTTTCCCGGTTTCCCGGTATCCCAGTATCGGGGTATCCCGGTTTCCCGGTTTCCCGGTATCCCGGTATCCCCGTATCCCGGTTTCCCGGTTTCCCGGTATCCCAGTTTCCGGGTTTCCCGGTTTCCCTATTTCCTGGTTTCCCGGTTTCCCGGTATCCTGGTATCCCGGTATCCCGGTATCCCGGTTTCCTTATTTCCTGGTTTCCCGGTATCCCGGTATCCCGGTATCCCGGTTTCCCGGTATCCCGGTATCCTGGTATCCCGGTATCCCGGTATCCCGGTTTCCTTATTTCCTGGTTTCCCGGTATCCCGGTATCCCGGTATCCCGGTATCCCCGTATCCCGGTATCCCGGTATCCCGGTATCCCAGTATCCCGGTATCCTGGTTTCCCGGTTTCCCGGTTTCCCGGTATCCCGGTATCCCGGTTTCCCGGTTTCCCGGTTTCCCGGTTTCCCGGTTTCCCGGTATCCCAGTATCCCGGTTTCCCGGTTTCCCGGTATCCCGGTATCCCTGTATCCCGGTATCCCGGTTTCCCGGTTTCCCGGTTTCCCGGTATCCCTGTATCCCTGTATCCCGGTATCCCGGTTCCCCGGTTTCCCGGTTTCCCGGTATCCCGGTATCCCGGTTTCCCGGTTTCCCGGTATCTCTGTTCACCCTTCACTCCCCTATCACCCCGAACCCTTGAAGCGTTTCCCTGTGTCCTTAAAGGTGATCTCCTTTCCTCCTTTCTGCCTGCCCTGCTGCCTCCCCTTCTGTCTGCTGTGCTGCCTCCCCTTGCTGCCTCCTTGCTGTCTACTGTGTTTCCCTGCTGCCTGCCCTGCTGCCCCCCTTTTCTTACTGTTGCCCTGCTGTGCCTTCCCTTCTGCCAAATCCCCGCTAATTCAGGTTCGGGACATGGCTCAGCATTTGAAGAATGACATGTACACCAAGTGAGTACCTCTGGTTGCTCTAAGTGCTTTCCAACCTTAAGATTTTCTGCTCTTCCGCTATTAGTGAGGACCCTCAGCATCTGAAGAATGACATGTAACACCAGGTGGTTGCCTCTTTGCTCTTGCCATAACGTCCCTTGTTCCATCCGAACTTCTTGGTCTTACCATCCGAACTGCTGGACTTACCCTCTTGTTCTGCCTCTTCCTCTTGTCCCTTTTTCTCTGCAGGTCGTTCAGGGCAGCAGTGCAGCTATTCTGGATAGCAGCAGCAATCCCACTGGCGCCTAATAAAAATGGCCAACAGGAGAGTCTTTTCTTCCTGACCCGCACTTCTTTCTGCTCTCTCCTTCTGCTCCCTTTTTCTCTGCAGGTCGTTCAGGGCAGCAGTGCAGCTATTCTGGATAGCAGGGCAACGACTCAACCCCTCTTCCACCCCTCTTCCTCCTCCTCTTCCTCCTGCTGCTGCTGCTGCTACTGCCGCCTCTGCTGCTACCCCTTCCCCGATTCCCACCATCATCCCTCCCAACCCTCCATCCGACCCCCTCGTCTCCCACCTGTTGCACTGCTGGGCCGTGCCGAGGAGGGGCAAGGGGGCGACAGCAAGGAGAGCGCGGGAGATGGTGGCATGGGAGCAGGCAGTCAGGTCGTCCCTTCGCCGCCTGCTGCTGCTGAACCATGGCTGCTGCACCGCCCGCTACTGCTCCCTCCCTAGCTGCTGCTCCTGCTCGTCCTGCTCCGCTCTTCCCTCTCCCGTTGCCGCCTCTCAACCATCTTCCACCGGTGTTTCTCACACCTCACACCTTCTGCACACCCCTCAAGCCTCACACCATCACTTACACTCAACCCCCTTTGTCCCATGGGACCTCCTCGCCTCTCTGCTCAACCTCGCCAAGCAAGCTGCCTCTCTTCCCTCCACTGCCGCTCCTTCTGCCAGCACCGCTGCTGCTACCACTGCAGCAGCAATTTTTGAGTCGACTCAAAAATCGACTCACTACACTCCTTCTGCCAGCACCGCTGCCGCTCCTTCTGCCAGCACCGCTGCTGCTCCTTCTGCCAGCACCGCTGCTGCTACCACTGCAGCAGCAAACGCCCCCACTATTACTTCTTCCCCCAAGCCATCTGCCAGCCTGTCCGCCTCGCTCCACTCGCCCCTCGCCCTCCTCGTCTCTCTCCTGCTCTCAGAGCTCGTACCTTGCCGCTTCTCCCGCTCGGCTCTCTCCCTCTTGCTCCTCGAAGACTCACCTCTTCCCTCGTCTGCTGCAGCTGCCAAAAGCTCTGGCCAGCAGGAGCAGCAGCAGAATCGTGAGCAGCAGCAGCAGCAGGAGCAAGAAGGGCAATCGAGTGAAGAGGGTTCTATACGAAGCCTTTCAACCCAGCAGTTGCAAATCCTCTCCACCTGCCTCCGCCACATGCTCACTTCCTCACTCCCTACCAACCAGCAGCAGCAACTCAATCTCACCCCCCGGCGCACCACACTTCCCTCCCCCTCCTCCTCTCCTTCCTTCCTCCTCTCCCCTCTCCTCCCTCCCCCTGTCTTGTCCAAGCAACAAGGGTCAGAGTTGCAGGTTTGGCAGCAGGGCAAGCGGGAGCAACTAGGGACTGGACATCTGCAGCAGGGAGGGGAGGAGGGAGAGGAAGAGAGAGCAGAGGAGCAGATAAGAGGTGGTGGGAGGCGGTGGAGTCAGGTGCAGCGGGTGCAAGAGGGGTTGAGAAGGATGCAGCAGGAGTTGCAGCAGCGGCTGGCATTGTCTGCTATGGTCACTGCGGCCTTGTGTCACGGCGAGGGAAGAGGGAATGAGGCGGAAGGGGCAGGGAGGATCCACGCAGCAGGTGGGGGGTTGACTTTTGAGTCGACTCACAAGTCAACTCACGGCGAGGGAAGAGGGAATGAGACGGAAAGGGCAGGGAGGATCCACGCAGCAGAGGGGGGGTTGACTTTTGAGTCGACTCAAAAGTCAACTCACGGCGAGGGAAGAGGGAATGAGACGGAAAGGGCAGGGAGGAGCCACGCAGCAGAGGGGGGGGAGGCAGCAGGGAGGGGGGCAGCAACGGCACCCTCAACCACGGAGGCAGGGAGGAACAAAGCAGCAGAGGGGGAGGCAGCAGGGAGGGAGGCAGCCGGGGGAGAAGCAGCAGCAGGGGCTAACGAAGCAGTAAGGGGGTGCATGGAGCGGGCAGCAGGCAACTGGTGCCAGTGGGTGCTCTCTCAGACCACACACACTGCAACCACTGCTGCTGCTGCTGCTGCCGGGGGTGGTGATGCCAGTAGTGTAGGTTTGAAAACGGGCACACAGGCGCAGGCAAGAGCGACGGGAGCAACTGTCCTAGTGCATCCCCTTCTCACGACCTGCGCGCTTACATTTGCACATCGGTAAGAAGCCCTTCTCTTTGATTGTATTATCAGAGAGCCCCATTGTATTATCTGATTCAAAAGATGACTGCTTTTACAAGCTTTCTGCTTCACCGGATCCCTCGCTCCCCCTCACCTCACACCTCGCTTTTCCTCTTCCCCTTCTTCCCATCTCCTCCCCATTCCCTCACTCCAGGTCAGGACTTGCAACCCCAGCCACGATTCCCTCCCTTCCCCATGCCTCCCTCTGTCCCATCATGCTAAAGCCAATCAATGCCACCCAGCCAGCTTGGCATTGTTTGTCCTGTAGCCGCCGGATCTCCCCCGAAGGCATGCTCTGCCTGGACGCTTGCCGCCCGTTCTTCCTGCCCCCGGGCAGGCAAAACTTCTGGGTCCGGGCAGAGGCATGGGCGGAACGTTTAAAAGAAGCCTCTGGAATATCAGCTGAAGCAGCAGCTGAACCTGAAGCGGAGGTAACAGCAGCAGCAACAGCAACCACCACCATGCCTGTTTGCCCGTACTGTGCGGTGCAGACTGTTGCCCCCACCCCGCCTACCCTGCTGTCTCCCTCGCTTGTATAGCATGAAAACGTCCCGCTGCTTGTGCACGAGCAGGGAAGCTGATGGTACCGTAATAGCTCAGGAAGTCACAGCTGCAACGGCAGCAGCAACCACCACCATGCCTGTTTGCCCGTACTGTGTGGTGCAAGCTGTTGCTCCCACCCCACATACCCTGCTGTCTCCCTCGCTACTGTGACATAAAAACATGTTTGTGCATGAGAGGGGAAGCTGATGGTAACAGAGAGGAAGTAACAGCAGCAGCAACAGTAACCACCACCATGCCTGTTTGCCCATACTGTGCGGTGCAAGCTTTGCTCCCACCCAGCCTACCCTGCTGTCTCCCTTGCTTGTGTAGTATGAAGACATTCCGCTGCTTGTGCTTGAGTGGGAAAGTTGATGTTAACAGATTATGGTAGGTAGGCTAGGCACACCTGCATTAGCAGTTTCCATACATGCATGTATGGCTGTGCCATGCGCTGCACTGCCCACCCCACATGCGGTACCCTGCTGTGTCCCTTGGTTGTTTGACATGAAATGAAAGCAGTCCCCTCCCCTGCTTGTATGAAGGAGAGGGCAAGTCCCCCAACTGTCGTTGACTCGTTAGCACAGTTCACTCCATGATGATCAATCAATTGGATAACCGTAATGAAGTACAGTACTATCTACCCACCAGGCTACAACAATATGGTAGTTACCGCTTTTAGAGGATACGGTACGAGGCAAAATGTACATCCAGGCTGTTCATTCAGTAGTGAATCAGCCTAACAGACGCTAAGCTCTCAACCTAAGCAGATTCCACATGATCTACAAGACGCAAACGTCACCCCAGCATTGCATGCTTGATGAGGAGAGCTTGCAACATGCCTTACACCTGCCTCTCTTCCCCCTCCATTCTTTCCTTCGCTGCAAGGGCAGGCAGTCACACAGAGAGCAACTGAGGAGTCAGGTGTAAGCATGCAACCACAAGGAGAGTGCCAGGAGGAGACCAGAAATATATTCACTGACTGGACTGACATGCACGAGCAGCAACTGTGCAAGCACATGCAACCACGTGGCAGATCAGGCAGCTGGGGAAGCAAACGGTATGGTGTGAATGCAGTGTGCTGAAGAGAGACCATGAACTCACAAGGAGAGTGCCAGGAGACTGTGGAGCCGTGAGCAGCTCACTGATGCATGCCGCCATGGCAGCTCACTGATGCATGCCGCCATGGCAGCTCACTGATGCATGCCGCCATGGCAGCTCACTGATGCATGCCGCCAAGGCAGCTCACTGATGCATGCCGCCAAGGCAGCTCACTGATGCATGCCGCCATGGCAGCTCACTGATGCATGCCGCCAAGGCAGCTCACTGATGCATGCCGCCATGGCAGCTCACTGATGCATGCCGCCATGGCAGCTCACTGATGCATGCCGCCATGGCAGCTCACTGATGCATGCCGCCATGGCAGCTCACTGATGCATGCCGCCAAGGCAGCTCACTGATGCATGCCGCCAAGGCAGCTCACTGATGCATGCCGCCATGGCAGCTCACTGATGCATGCCGCCATGGCAGCTCACTGATGCATGCCGCCATGGCAGCTCACTGATGCATGCCGCCATGGCAGCTCACTGATGCATGCCGCCATGGCAGCTCACTGATGCATGCCGCCATGGCAGCTCACTGATGCATGCCGCCATGGCAGCTCACTGATGCATACCGCCATGGCAAGTATAGCAGAAAAGGGAGAGACAGAGAAATCACTTCAGAGAAGAACCCAAACGGAAGCAGCAAACCGAAGGAGGTGAGGCAAGGCGCAGAGGCAAGAGGACAAGCAAAAGGTGCGGGGAAGGGGAGATGAGGGGGTGAGCGGGAGAGGGATTTGAGGAGAGCTTTGAGATGAGGGGTAGGGGCAGGGGGAATGAGGGATGGTTGGGCGGGGCAGGAGAGAGGGGAGAGAGGGGGGGGGGGTGGGGGAGGAGGGTGGGGGAGGATCTGGAGAGAGGTGGATGGGAATGAGGAGATGAAGCGTGAGCGGAGGGGGAATGTGGGTTGGTTGGGGGGAAGGGACTGGAGAGTGGTGATGGATGGGAAAAGGTAATGAGGAGTGTATGGGTGGGGTTGATGAGGGGTGAGCGGGGGAAAGGTGAGGAGAGGGCGGGGGGGATGAGGGATGGTCAGGACGTGGGAATAGGGGGAAGATGACGGGTGAGTGGGGGTACAGTGGGAGGGGAGGGAGAGGGGGGGAGTGGGGGATGGGGAAAGCCGGGGAGATGAGGAACGAGCACAGAAATTGAGGGGAGAGCGCTGAAGATGGGGGAAGAGCGGGGAAGATGAGGGGAGAGCGGGGAAGATGAGGGGAGAGCGGGGAAGATGAGGGGAGAGCGGGGAAGATGAGGGGAGAGCGGGGAAGATGAGGGGAGAGCGGGGATTTGAGGGGAGAGAGGGGATGCGGCGAAAATGAGGGGAGAGTGGGGGAGAGAGGGGGGCGCGGGGATTTGAGTGGGGGGTGCGGGATGCGTGACGTTTCTAAGCAAAGTCGGTGGAACAAGGGGAAGGGGTGGGGAGGAGGACGAAAGCGTGGGAAGGGAAATGGGGAGAAATCAGGGGGAGGACACTCCGCTTCTACCTCTCGCCAGTCCTTTCCCCTTCCGCTCCCTTACTCCTCCCCCACTCCCTTATATAATCACCAGTTCATTCTCCCTCCCTGCGCTCCCTTACCCCTCCCCTTCCCACCCAGGATCCCTCTTTCCACTGTTACGCGCAACTGTCAGGCTAATGCGCCTTAGATCGTGTCATGTGTTCGCATGCGCCATATATCGGGTCAAGGAAGCGTTACGAATGTGCCCGCGAATCGACGATAATGTTCCAAACGCAGATAAATACAGGAGTTCAAAATTCGTCAGATCTTAGCAGTACAGGCAAACGACAAACACGTATACTGTTGCAGATCTGGAGAGAGAGGCTAACAGTACCTTCGACGCTAGCAGCACCGCACTAAATGTGTGAAGCGGCGAACGCTGAAGTAGGACTGAAGCGCGATCGAGACTAGCCACGGTACTGAGATATAACTAGTTAGGGTAAGAATATTAAAAACTCCATGTGAAAAATAAATACCGCTTTTGCCTCCAGAAATCAGTAAGCGAGGGTAGCGAGATGTACGTGATGGGTCGCTGCTTTGATCTAACAGAACGGAGCTACCTAGTAGAACAAAATGCTTTGGTGGTTGAGCCAGGGTGACGGAAACTTTCTGTCCGTGCTGCCGTGGAAACACCCTTCACATCTATTGGTTCGCGAGAATTCCTTCAACATCAATTTGTATTTTCAGCTGCCCATTTGAGGTTCGGAGAGCCAAAACAGTTGCGATTTTTTCGCGCCACGCAGGAATTTGCTAACTATCCATCCGCCGTCCCGCACCTTAAGCCAAAATCACGCAAGGACTCTAATTATTTAGAAAAGCGCCACGTCCAGCACCTACTAGAAAGTTCAAGCCTGCCCTAGCCCATACTTCTCCAATATCCACAATGGTCTCAACATCTCCCACACAGGTACGCGCCCTCAGCAGACTCGTTTGCAGAAAGAGCAACACAAACCAGAAATTCAAAATCAGCCAATAGTGTATCGCCAGGCCGTTCCACTTCTACAGTTTAAAACCCGAGTCCCAAATTGCGGACCGCGTGGGTCAAGTTTTTAAAACTTGACGAAGTTGAGTGTCCAAGCTTTTGAAAGTCACGCACCTGCAATTTGGGACTTACGAAGACAGATTCACTCACCAGGGGGAAAACCGAGGGTTGGTTGGGTCTCGCGAAATAAATGAGCCTAGACGAAATTGCGAACTCTCGCCAAAGCCTACAACAGAAAAACTCCCTCTAGTCAACTTGTAAAAAGCATGAACAATTTGGGCCGCCGGTTTTAAGATGTCGTGTTCTTCAGTTCAGGTTCAGGGCTCCTCCGACCTAGGTGCCAGGCACGTATTCATCCGAAAGTTTTCACATTTCAAGGCGTTGAAAAGCCTAAGGAAATTTCATTCAATTAAAGGTTACAAGTCAGAACTGCTAGCTTTCTAAGCTCCCTAAGCCAAGTGTAAACAGATCCTCTTGCGGCTCCACAGCAGCGCCTCCATAGCAGCTTGAAAGTCTTCTTGACCCCTCTTGGCCGTCAGAGGCAAATGCCCCTGACGTTCACCCACGCACCACGATGAGGTGGAGGTCATTCGCGTGGGGCCTGCTTGGGAGGGAGTGGGGGGGGGCGGGAAAGTGCTTGGGAGGGGGGGGAAACGGTCAAAATTAGTGACGGGCAGATGAAAATAAACACATAGAATCTGACAATAGGTTCCCCGTTGTCAGAATGTTCAGAATGACGGCCAGCTGTCAAGAGGACGACCAGCCGTCAAGAGGCATACCTGAACGCACCTGGTTACCACCCATACCATCACCCATGTTAGTGCCTAATCGAGTCTATACCACCCATACCATCGCCCATGTTAGTGCCTAATCGAGTCTATACCACCCATACCATCGCCCATGTTAGTGCCTAATCGAGTCTATACCACCCATACCATCGCCCATGTTAGTGCCTAATCGAGTCTATACCACCCATACTATCGCCCATGTTAGTGCCTAATCGAGTCTATACCACCCATACCATCGCCCATGTTAGTGCCTAATCGAGTCTATCTAACGCGCTCCTAATCGTCCTGTACCCATCACCACCCCTCTTACAAGGCCTGGTGCTTGCGCTGGTTGCTCCCGCTCTCGCCAAATCTGACAGAAAGGGCGGGATGGGAGGGGGAGGTCAAATTCCATCCTCGCTCCTTGCTCCTTGCTCCTTGCTCCCGCTCCTCCGCGCTCCACGCCCGATACGCGATGCCACCCTCCAGAGAGAAGCGCCGCCAAGCGCCGTGCGCCCGTGACCGCGCCTTCGCCAGTGGGACACGTCGTGCGCCGCATGCGTCCGCATCGTCGCCGCGCGTCTCCGTTCATCGCCGCGAGTCCCCGTTCGTCGCCGCGCGTCGCCATTCGTCGCCGCGTTTCCCTTGCGTCCCCATTCGTCGCCGCTTGTCTCTGTTCGTCGCCTCGCGTCCCCCGTTCGTCGCCATTGTCGCCGAGTATCGTGCGCGTCAGCCTCTGCAAGAAGAAAGCAAAGCAGCATTAGAACGTAGAAAACTCAAATTAAATATATGCAGCCAAGACGCGTTGAACCTAGATCGCTAAAACTGATGAACGGACACACTTTACCTTTGCCGGAGCGAGGCGTTGCTGGTAGCGTCCCCTTGTGACGTCCCCTTGCGACGTGAGACACGCGCCATTCGTCGCCATGAAGCTTCGCCATGCTTCGCCGCGAAGCGTCCCCACCCCAAGCGTCCCGTGCGCCGGCGCACGGTCAGGCTCTGCAGGAGTAACAAAATCAAATCACAATAAGTTAGATTCCTTGGAAACGTAAAGAGCAGAATCGACAAAAGCAGACTGAGTTGAATCCCACGGGACTTACCTGCACACCACGATAGACTCTGAAGTCCGAGAGAAGCGCCTCGCCAGTGGGACACGCCGTGCGTCCCATTCGTCGCCGCGAGTCGCCGCGCGCCGGCGTGTGAAACAAGTAAACAGGAATGGAATGACGAAGGAAAGATTGGGTACAAATACAACCCTAGAAACCCTATACCCCATATGTGCTACCCCACTATAGCCTACAGCAAATATGTCATATAAATCTGACACACCCCCATAGGCAAAGTGGGGGAGAGCAAGGGGTCACAAGACCAGTCAAGTAAAGCAAAGCAGAGCAAGCTCAGGGTGGATCACAACGTCACCACACAGTCCGAGCACAAGAGCACGGCCAGAGGCCAGTTCACATGCAGGAGTACAGACATATATATATAAAACTAGACAAGCAAGAGCAGGTATATATATGTCACAGTACAAGTAAAGTCAAGAGGAGAGCAAGTGAGGCAAGACAGGCACAAGACCCAGCTGAGTGCAGAGGCGCTGATGGTCACAAGGCGCGAGTGCCTTGGTGAACACATCAGCAGTGTTGGCCTCAGAGGCCACGTACGCAAGCCGCCACTGTCCGCGCTGCTGCAGCTCACGAGCAAGGAAGTAGCGAAGAGCAATGTGCTTCGTTCTGTGCTCCAGACGCTGCTCTCGACACAAGGCCAGCATGGCCTTGTTGTCTACGTACAGCACTGGAGGAGAACGAGGCGGCTCTCCAAGGTCCGTCAGCAGGTAGGTGAGCCAGCGAAGCTCCTGTGCAGCCATGGCCCCAGCGTAGATCTCAGCCTCACAACTGGAGCTGAGAACCGAAGACGAGCGAGTAGCCCGCCAAGAGACAGAGCCGGAACCAAGACTGAAGGTGTAACCCTGTGACGACCGCTGCGTAGCCTGGTCGTCAGCCCAAGAAGCGTCCGCGTGCCCTGTAAGGACCACTGGACTGCGCCCTCCAAGCACTAGCCCCATGCCCGACGTACTGCACAGGTAGCGCAACACCCTCTTCGCTGCGACCATGTGCTCTGGTCTGTGTCTCCCAGGAGCAACATAGCGTGCAAGAATGCTCAGAGGGTATGCAAGGTCAGGTCGTGTGCAGGTCATCAGGTACATGAGGCAGCCAACAAGCTCTGGGTACGGGCCACTCGACTCTACGGACTCATCCGAAGGCAGAGCTGAGAGCGAGTGGCGAGTAGACAGAGGAGTGGCCTGAGGCGAGGAGTACGTGAAGCCGAAGCGCTGAAGGACCTGCTGCACCATGTGTGACTGAGTCAAGGTAATGGTGCGGCGTGCTCTGTCCCGAGTGATCTGCAAGCCAAGGTAGCTGCGCAGTTCACCCAGGTCAGTGCACGTGTGTCTCTTCAGCAGCTCGGACTTCACGTAGGCGAGTCCAGCAGTGTCCGCTGTGGCAAAGACCAAGTCGTCGACGTACACGAGGATGTAGAACGGCGGCAGAGAAGTGTCGGTGCGCAGAAACAGCGACGGGTCAGCAGTAGAAGGAGCAAACCCAAGAGCCGCAAGCGTAGTCCTCAGTGTGTCGTGCCACTCACGCGGTGCCTGGCGGAGACCGTAGACTGGCCGTCGGAGGCTCCACTGGGTGCCAGGAGGGAAAGTCCCAGTGAAGCCAGGTGGACGGCGCAGCCAGATCTCCTCGTGCAGGCTACCCTGTAGGAACGCAGTGCTGAAGTCGAGAGAGTGAAGCTCGTAGTCGCGCTGAGCGGCTATGTGCAGCAGCACCCGAAGAGTGGTCATCTTCGGGGTGGGAGAGAAGGTCTGAAAGTAGTCAACTCCCTGCCGCTGACTGAAGCCACGAGCAACGTACCGCGCCTTGAAGACAGGTGGAGAGCCCGGCGGCCGCTTCACCCTGAAGATCCACATGCCACTGACGATGTTGGCCCCAGGAGGGGGAACCGCGTCAACGTAGGTGACTGTGGACTTCCAGGAAGCCATCTCTGCATCCATAGCTGCCTGCCACTGAGACGAATAGGGACCCTCTACGGCCTCCGCGTAAGAGCGCGGAGTCGGGATGTCTAGTGCATCCGGGTCTCCCTCAGGAGCAAGCAGTACAGACGCAAGATGAGGTGAAGCAGCAGCCAGACACTGTAACTCCTCCTGCGTGTCCTCTAGGACGTCCGTGCCAAGAGCACACTCACCCCCGACGGACGGAGGACAGACAGACGCAGACTCAGCAACAAGACTAGCAGCGTAGTCTAGACGACAGCGAGCAGCAAAGTCGACGAGCTCAGTGACAAGAGCAGACGCAGCAGTGGACACAAACGAGGGGTCAATGACGACAGTAGCAAGCAGACGCGTGACAGTAGGACTGGCAGCACAAAGAGAGTCCGACTCCGGGTCGGCAAGGGCAGGAAGAGAGGACTCAGGAGGAGAAGGCAAAGGGGCACGCAGAGGAGCAGTGGACGGACGCAGAGACATCCGTTGCGTGCCAGGGACAGAAGGAGGACGCTGATGCGAACCGCGACCACTAGTGCGAGCAGCACGAACAGGCGACACAGGACGAGACGCAGGCTCACGACGCTCAGCAAGACCTCCAGTAGGACCAGTGTAAGGAGAGGGAGCAGGCAGTGGAGAGGAAGGCTCTAACAGTGACTGTGACTGGACAGGCTGTGAACACTCTACCGGAGGAGAAAGACCAAGAACCTGCTGCAAGAGCGGAACGAAGTACGGTCGAGGCCGCGTGGCAGCTCCAGACTCAGCAGGGACAGCACCAGCACCCTCAGCGACAGCACCAGCGCCACCAACAACTCCAGCGGCAGGACCTCCAGCAGTACCAGTAGCAGAACCACCGCCGGGACAGACAGCAGGAGTCTCAGCACCAACACCCTCAGGAGCTCCTGCTCCAGGAGTACCCGCAGACCCAGCAGCTCCGGGACGGGCAGCACCAGCACCCTCGACGGTCGAAGAAGCTCCAGCTCCAGCAGCACGCCTCCAGCGGCGAGCAAACCACTCGCGCAGCTCCTGTGGAGAGAGGGGCTCCCGGCGAGACACAGCAGCAGGAGAAACCCCAGGCTCAACAGCTCCAGACGTAGCACCCCCAGGCTCAGCAGCTCCAGACTCAGCACCCCCAGGCTCAGCAGCTCCCGACCCAGCACCCCCAGACCCAGCACCCCCTAGCTCAGCAGCTCCAGGCACCGTACCCCCCGGCTCAGCACCCCCAGGCTCCGTACCCTCCGCAGTAGCACTCCCAGGCCCAGCAACCCCCGTAGCAGCACCTCCAGGCGCGGCACCCCCGCGCACAGCACCCCCAGAGTCAGCACCCCCAGGCTCAGCACCCGCAGCAGCACCAGAGTCACCAGTAACCTCGACCGGGTCAACTGCGTCTATCTGGGACACACCTGAGGGGGCAGGAACCTGAGGGGGGAGGGGGTCTACCGGGGGGGGAACTGGCACAAGGAAGTCCGGCGGAAGGGGGAGGGAAGGAGTGCGGTAGGGGAAGAGGCGGTAGAAGGGGACTGACTCGTCGAACGTGACGTCGTGGGAGGACAGAACACGACGAGAGGAGGGGTGGTAAAACTGCCACCCGGGAGCGTCTGTGGGGAAGCCAAGGAAGACACAGGGAGCAGCACGAGGGGACAGCTTGTCCGCAGACAAGTCGCGGACAAACGCCCGAGATCCCCAGACACGGAACGCCGACGCATCGCCAACCTTCCCCGTCCACAGCAAAGCTGGGGAGGTCTCCGGTCGGGAGACTCTGGGCTGAAGGTTGAGCTGATGCGCGGCGTACCGAACCGCAAACGGCCACAGAAAATGGGGGGCAGCCGCATGCACCATGGACGTACGGGCGACGTCCATGACAATGCCGATGCGGCGCTCAGCAATCCCATTCTGCTGTGGAGAGTCCGGAAGCGTGAAGGTCTGGCGGATGCCTCGTGCCCGACAGTAGGCTCGCAGAAGGCCGGAGGAGAACTCTCCGCCTCTGTCCGAATGCAGACGCAGAACAGGAAAGTCCGAGCCGAAGCTCCGCCTGAGCTGGAGACGAGCTGCGCGGATCCAGTCGATCAACACCTCAGTGACCTCACCCTTGCTGCGCAAGGGAAAGACTGTGGTGTAACGCGAGTAGTCGTCAACCACCAGCAGGAAGTAGCGCTCGTGACCCTGTCCACGGACGCGGGCTGGGCCCCACACGTCCATGTGAAGCGTCTGCATCGGGGCCTCCGTCGGAGGGAACGGGGAGGAGTGAGGGGTAGCCCGCAGGCGACCCTCTACACAGGGGACACAGGGAGGGCCAGGCCCCGGAGGAAGGGGAGGGAGGGACCGGGGAAGGCCAGAGACAAGAAGGCGAGAGGCCATGCCCCGGAGACGAGGCAGGGAGGGGTGACCCATCCTGTGGTGCCACAGGAGGGTCTCGTGGGACAGGAGGCGACACGAGCAGGGGGCAGACTCAGGACCAGACCTGGACGCTGCAGCAAACACCTGACCCGACGCAGCTACCTGACCAGACGCAGGAGAAGGAGACGGAACAGTGAGTGTGTACAGGCTCGACCCTGGACCACGTGTGAATGTGGTCAGGTGTCGACCCGTGTCCGCGTCCGTGCAGTGGGTGACTCGTCGGCGCGCAGGGGTGAACTGGTCAACCCCTGCATCCTGTAGGTCAGCACCCGCCACCAAGTTCGTCGAGAACGAGGGGAGGTAGAGACCGGACAGGGCTCCAGACGGGACCGCAGGGCACGGCAGGACAGTGGAGTAGCGAGCCAGAATAGGACCCCCAGAGGGGTCTGCCAAGGAGACCGCCACTAGCCGACTAAGCGGCGTGAGTGTGGTGCGGTCTCGAAAGAAGGAGCGAGACGCCCCGGAGTCAAGAGTGAAAGTGAGAGAGGGTGAAGTCGACACAGTACCTGAGAGAGCAGACTCACCAGCACCTGAGAACTCAGACTCACTGGCACCTAGAGCAACAGCCTCACCAGCACCTGGAGCAGCAGCCTCAACAGCACCTAGAGCCGCAGTACCAATGCCCGGGTCGGGCGGGAAACACCGGTAACAGTCACCCTCCTCACTAATAGTCACAGCATACATAGCAGCAAGAATAGCATCAAAGTCAAGATCAAAGATAGCTTCTCCAGC